TCATGGAAGAAGCCCAAGTGCCCATTGACCCAGGAATGGATCAATAAATTGTGATATATGTACACCATGGAATATTATGCAGCCCTAAAGAAAGATGGAGACTTTGCCTCCTTCATGTTTACATGGATGGAACTGGAAAATGTTCTTCTGAGCAAAGTATCACAAGAATGGAAGAAGAAGTATCCAATGCACACAGCCCTATTTTGAAACTAATTTATAGCTTTCGTAGGAATGTTATAACCTAATTATAGCCTTAGAATATGAGAAGGGGCTGGGAGAGGGGAGGGAGTAGATGAGGGAGAGAGGGTGATTGGTCGGGTCACCTCTATGGTTTATCCTACAAGGGTACAAGTGAATCTTTCTAAAAGCAGAATATGAACGTCTTAACCCAATAACTAAGAAAATGACATGAAAGCCATGTTAACTAGTTTGATGAGAGTATTTCAAAATGTATATGAAAACACCACACTGTACCCTGTGATTGCATTAATGTACACAGCTATGATTTAATAAAAAAAAATTTTAAAACCCATATCAGTTGAAGTGACACTGAAAAAAACATTCAATAAAATTAAACATTCCTTTATGATAGATTGAAGGAATAGATAGACAAAATGAGCATAGAAGAAACTTACCTCAACATAATAAATGCCTTATATGACAGACTCACAGTTGGTGTATACTGAATGGGGAAAAATCAAAAGCCTTTCCTCTGATATCTGGAACAAGACAAGAATGACCATTACACCACTGTTATTCAACATAGTACTGTAAGTTCTAGCTAATGCAATCAGATAAGGGAATGAAATTAAAAATATCCAAATTAGAAAGGAAGTTAAATTATCCTTGTTTGCAGACGATACGATCTTATATCTAGAGAAACCTAAGGACTCACAAGAAAAAAAAAAGTATTAGAACTAATAAGGAAACTATAAAGTTGCAGGATAAAAAATTAACATGTAAAAATCAGTAGCGTTTCTATATGTCATAGTAAACAATCTGAAAAAGAAACAAAGAAAGTATTCCCATTAACAATAGCTACAAATATCATAATTGCCAGGTCATGGAAGAAGCCCAAGTGCCCATCGATCCACGAATGGATCAACAAACTGTGGTATA